AAATTTGATTTTTGGTTTTTTTTTTTTTTTTTTTTCCGTATCGTGTTTCGTATTTTTATAATACCCAGAATCGCGAAATGTTTTTAAACACTTTGTTTCGAACGTTTTACCATATATGCTTACGGTTAAACAGTATTAAACGCTGTAAAATTATATTAAAATAACCTATTTGTTCTGAAAATATCACTCAAGTTCCAATTCATTCTTAAAAATATACATATATATATATATATATATATATATATATATGTATAATAATATAATATATAAACAGTTGCTATTGCTTTTGAATAAAGAAATTACGTTGATTGAATAATTGTTATTTTTTTTTTAAATAACTATATGATGAAATTATATTTACAATTAACTATTATTTATAGGACGATGATAACAAAAAATGTAATAAATGCATATTTGTTTAAAATTAAAAAAACATATTATGAATAAAAAAAAAAAAAACGTTTAAAAAATAGAAGAAAGTAACCATTTTCGTATCCGTATTGAATCGATTGCTCTTTACAGACAGAATTGTTATCTTTTCGAATCCGGTTACCATATTTCAAAAACCAAAAGTTGATAATATTATTACGTGTTTGTGTATAAAGGGAAGAATGTTTGAAAACATTGTAATAACAAGGACGTTTAACGGTTCTAAACAGACGAAAGCGAAAAATCAAAACCGACAGAATTCTCGCGGACAATCGTCGCTGGACGAGGACGAAAAAAAAAAAAATTCACCCTGTGTATCGGAATAATAACAATAATATAACAATATAAATAATAATATCCGAATAAGGATAAACTCGTACCGACTGTATGTATTATATCGTTATTATTTTTTTCTATATTATGTCTAACGGATCGGTGTCCCTCGGGCAAAACGTTATACTGTTTTTAACTGGATCTGATGTAATGTACCGTTAACATGCCCGCCGCCCCGCCGCCCCGCCGACCCACCGACGGCCGACTTTACCGCTCTTCCGATCCGGGAAAAACGGACCTGCACCGGGCGCAATTACGCCGTAACCGGAAACGGTGCAGAAATAATGGGTATAGGTACACATCTTTCTTGTTCCGAACCGCGCGTGCAAGGACGACGATACTTTTGAACTCGAAATGCCGTACCTAAAACAAAACGCACGAAACATAATATGCATACACCGGCATGCGTACGCACGTGCGTATAATATATTACAGTCGAGCCCGGTAGTCGTGTACCTACAGCACGCGTTGAGCGCAATTTAAAAAAAAATAATAATAATACAGTATTCGAATTCGATTCGTATTGTTGAGTTATTTTCGTTTTTGTTTATTATTATTTTTTTTTTTTTTTAAACCGCGCTTTGATCGGGGCGAGGATTTCAACTGTTTTAAAAAAAAAATTCTTCGGAAACGGATTACGAAATGCGGGTAATTTGTTTGCCTCACGTTGGATATCGCCGTCGCAGAAAACTGCAGTACAATCTGAGATATTAATTAATGGTTACGAGATAAAAGACGGGACACCGCAAGTACATAAATACTATCGGCGGAGTATTTAAAATTCGCCAAGAACGGAGCTTTTATTACTGTACAACGTGTAGGTACCCGAGTTAATAAAAAGAGTTTAGTTTGTATACATTTTTCTTTAAATACCTAGGTAACTTATTATAATAAAATCTGTCCAAACATCGAAATCAAACAACTAGATAAGTAATTACTATTAATTTACTTTTTAATGCAATCCCCTTGTTTTTACGGTGTTTTGGATGACATGGATTAATGGTTTCGTTTTAAACGAGAAAACCAACATATCACATTTTTCGATTTTTTTTTTTTTCAATTAAAAAATAAAGAAATTCCAATTTTTAAAATAAATAAATATTCATGTAAATAATAGATTTTTAGTATAAAAAAAAAAAGTAGGTCAAGAAGGTAAAAAAAAATCTCTTTAATCTTCCCCGTAAATTCTGCACCGCGTACTATTACGTATATGTAATACGTACCGTAATATAATATTATTATTATGAATCTTTTCGGTTTTGTATGAGACTCGAGACTCGAGTTAATATTATACGTTTCTTTATATTGTAGAATATTTTACGGCGATAATATTCGGTAATGCGTTTATCCATCAATCAGAACCAACGCGAATAAGTAGGTAATAGCATTAGAATCAAAAAAAAATATATATAATATAAAATTTATCTGAAATATAATTTGAATAACGTAACAATCATACACGTACAATAATTCGATCCGCGCTGTTTTTTCGTGTCTAAAACTCCTCATTTCGCACGTATAAACACATCAATCAGTTTAATCGAATTCAATTTATGAGTAGCTTATAATGTATTGGAAAACATGATGAATGCAAATTGTAAGCTGCTGAATAATATCATTCGGTAATAATTATTGCTGCGCACCTTGTGTTCGCGTCTAATAAATTAAATAAATTAAATTAATAGTATTTATGGTAGAAAAAATAATCTGTAAAAAACTAAAATTATGAAATCATAATAGTGCCGTAATTCTGACTGTTTTAATTTTAAGTTTTTCACCGAATTCTCTCAATTCTTTTGAAAAGAACTAGTTTACTTGGAAAATAAAAATAACGAATTACTCGCTCTTCAACAAGATATTTTGTCATATTTAGATAATAGCAATATTTCCGGTGGAAAACATAGCGCGTAAAAATTAAAAACAATGAAATCGGTAACGCCGTAAATATGTGTCAATCATTTTGAAAACAACAAAGAAAATCGAAAAATAACTTCTTAAAAGCACCAACCAGATCCAAAATTCAACGAAATAGAACTTTTGTCATTTTCCAATTGGAAAAATTCTTCTGTTCATAAAGTTGTATACAAAAAGAAGAAAAGCACACGCCATACAGTAAAACCAATAGATCCCTCGTTCCGCTCCTGAATATAAAATGCGTTTTGTACGTTTATAATACACCACACAAAATAATTGTACCGGGTGTTTTATCATTTGTCTGACTACCGGCCCACACCCACAGACTGCTAACTGTATACGAGTAGAGTGTCTAGTGAAAAGATTTTATGACCCGGTCCATCGGTTTTCACAGAAATGACGGGTCTTCTCGTTCCGTTCCCTATAGATTACAAATAATCAGTGGCGTACGTAGGGAGGGAGAAGTTAGGGGTTGTATCTCTACCAAATGTTAAAAAAAAAAATTAAAAAAAATATAAGTAACTTAATATCTAAATGCATATTATTATTCAGCCAAAGTACGAGCAAAAGCTTGCCGTATTGATTAGAAATTGTTTTTTTTTTTCGAGATTTCGCGATTTCGCTTTAAATTACCAATTGCCATAGTCGAGTCGCGTAGTGAAGACGATTTTATAATTTTTTTTTTTCGCCACGCCCTCTCTATTGAAAATTCCCGGGCGCGCCATTTCGAATGACGATTACATGCCGAAACCGACGTCAAAAAAAATAATAATATTATTTTCGTTATTAACCAACGGCAATACGTATCAACCGTTTTAGTTGTATATTGTCTGCCTACCGAAATATGCAATCCGATTCGTAACAAACGCGACTGGAAAATATCATTTAATATTTCCGGAACCGAAACGCGTGAAAAACGAGAATTCCAGATCCGTCACGACGGCCGCGCGGGGCCCATTTGCGGTCGCCGAGTACCGCGGCTCCGGCCAGACCGCCGGACCACAGGACCGTCGTCCACGGGACCCGGTCGCGGGTAAAACGCGTTTCGATGCGGCCCGTGTTCGCGGATTCCGATTTAATCGTTAACCCGGTCGTTCCGGTGCCCCGCGGCCGAACGTTTTGGCCGCCAAATGGTCACCGCGATCGGCAATCGGCGCGCGCACGTTTTCGTCACGGAGTGCCTTGCCGGACCGGACGATGTTGGGTTACGGCCGTCGCGGCGCCTTCGACTCGACGCGCGTTTCTGCCGGACCGTACGGCGTCCGCCGAGCATCCGACTCCGGTAACAGTTTTCGCTGCCGGCGACCGTGTCACGCCGTCACGGGCGCCGGTCGCACGCCGACCGCGGCTTTGGGAACAGAGACGCGCGTTAAATTTAGCCGCTTACCGCGAACCCCTTCCCGAAACAGTTACCGATAGCGCGCGAGTCGATATCGCCACCGAATACCCGCCGACCGGTTCGTTAAACGTGTACTCGATGCACGCCGAAATCGCGACCCCCGCGGACCGCTTTCCGATAGCTTTTCCGGAAACGTTCGACCCATTATTGCCTCCGAAAATCCGCCGGTCAGTGTATCGGAACGCTTGCCAACTTCTTTCGGAACCGAAACCTCCCACGAACCCTACTCTCCGATTGCCGCTACCGGTAATGCGCATCCCGAGAACGCCGCCGAAAACACGGAAATCAGAACACGAGTACCTCTCCATTCGGAATCGCTACTTCCCGAGAACCCTCATCTCCGAACACCGCCCAATAGTGGACCGCACCACGGATTGTATACAACCTGCAGATGTGAATCAAACGTGCAGATAACCCGACCGCCAACGTCAAACTCAATGACGCGGTCACGATACAGGTCAGCTCGGTACTCTTAGAATATAGAATGTTTACAACAGATGTCTACGACATTATCGTCATTTGTTTCTTTTTTTTTTTTTTTTGCTATTTTAATTAACATGTATCTTGATTGCTCCGAACGTATCGTACATACGCGGAATAGAATTCGGAATAATTCATTCCGAATCATAATTTCTTATCAAGCACTTTATATTTATATATAAAGTAAAGTAATATTATATTATTATATATTTAGAAATATATAATTAAAAATGACATCCATAATCGTATAAACTTAGCTATAGTTGTGGTCAATTAAACAATCCGAACCAAAACCGTCTTCAATGTTGAAACCTCTGTTATAAACATTATATTTATAAGCAGGGCTGTGAATTTAATGCATTTGCATGTTTTTTTTGCTACATCATAAAAGAAAATGGATTCGGCCAAAATTTGAATTGTGTTACTAATAATTAAAATACGAAATCTTATAGTGCATATTTTTGCATATTTAACTAGTTAGGGCATATAAATGCATGTTTTTATACTTTTTTCGTATTAATGCTTTTTTCTTAATATTTATACTTTTTCGGTCAATTTGGTCTAAAATATAAAATACATAATATAAAATGTATTTATAATCTAACTATCTTTTATAGAAATTTTATTATTTTTGAACATTTTATTCTATTTTTAGTTGGGTTGACTACACGTAAATTCGGGTATAAATAGTTGTTTTCTTATTTTGCCGAATATTGTCCAAGATCAGTATTATTAATTAATAATTATTATTGTATTGTTGTGGTCTATAAATATAAATAAATGGAAAATAATATTTACCTATATTAACTTGCACTTGATGCCTGATGGACAACAATTGTAAAANGAATGTAGGTGATTTGGATATACCAGAAGATTTAACCAGTAGCGACATGGCGTATTTTAAGTTTGCACCAATAACATCCGCAGATGTAGAACGATCGTTTTCTTTATATAAGAATATATTGGCACCAAACAGGAGGTCTTTCAAGTTTGAAAATCTCAAAAAATCATTAATCGTACAATGCAATAATTACTTTAGAGGTAAATTTATTAAATATTAAATTTATATTTATATTTATATTTATTTTTTTTATATAGATGCCGTAAATGACGATGATGAAGATCGCAATTAATTTAAATTTATATAAACATGTAATACCCATAAATTTTTAACAATTATATTTAGTATTTAAAAAAATATTTTTTGTTGTTTTTTGTATATTTTTGAAAAATTAGTACATATTTTACGAAATTTTAATAGCATATTTTTATGCACGTTTTGATATTTTTAGTGCATATTTTGATATTTTTTAGTGCATATTTTCATGCATATTTTGACATTTTTTAGTGCATATTTAATAGTTTTTTGGTGCATTAAATTCACAGCCCTGTTTATAAGTAAGATGAATTATAGCAAAACGAAATAATACTCTAAGCAAAGTTCGGTTGAATATATTTTAATATGTCGTAATGTTTACAATTCTCGTTAAAATTTAAAATCAAATACTTATAAATTTCGTGTTAAATTTACAAGCATTTATTTTTAGCACAATTTAACAATTTTGTGCAGGTAATACCAAATGAAAAACTCGTACATATCAGATGCCTATGCAAAGAAATAGCTGAAAAATCGACTGAGTAATTTGAATATTTTAACATGAAAAGTTATTTTTTAGTCTAATATTTTTTTTCTTTGAAAAATAATAGATTTGACAATAATAGAGCGGCAATCGGGTTATAAAATAACAACAAAAAAAAAAAATCCTTAAACATTTTTTTTTAATTTCTAAATTAAAAACAAAAATATTGTTCAATTGCTAATGTAATGTCTAAAATATTCTATGTTTGGGCCGTCGGGCGAAGGGTTACACACCCAGCATACCCCTTATCTCCGGCCCAGCTAAATATTATTATCCACTCGCGGTGTTTTCATATTCGTCGCATTATTTTGCAGAATTATTAACGTAAGTACTTTGTCCCGGATGTGATAGTGACGTTCACAGTATTTTATCCCTTTTGTAGTGTATGTTTTAAAATTTTTGTATGCACATTTTTCATAATTTAATTTAATTTTTTTAAGTTTTAATATAGATTTTTTTTTTATTTTATTTTATTTTTTTTTTTTTTTTAATGGATATTGTGTTGCCTTTATACGTGTGTCATATATTGCGCACACCATTCATACAATCGAACTTATAAATTAATTGTAATCGTCTGCTTCTCGTAGTCTGTAAGATAAAGACTTTTTTTTAGTAAATGATATCTTGATGTGGGATTTGATACAACGAGAACATCAAGGGAAACGTGATATGTTGGTTATTCTATTTGCAACAAAATAAACTTAATTTCGACTTTTTTACTTCTGGATAAGGCGAATATAATTACTAAAATGTGTATTTCTTTCTCCTTAAGAAAAAACACTTATGTTAATGGAAATTTTTCAATTTTCAATCAGTATACCCTTTAATTGATACACATTGGCATTTTTAACAGTCAATATATATGTTTTTTTTTATAAAATTTTAATTCAGAAAAATCTTTGTGGAAAAATAAAGATAGTAAACATATTATTTGTATCATATAGTGATAAAAATAGATTATTTACCCAGTATTATCTACTACTTTATTTAGAAAAAAATGTCTACATTTCTAACCATTTTTTCATAGAATTTAAAAAACCGACAATATATATGATTATATTGGTTTTATTTTTTATATAACTGCTTTGGCTATAAGAGCAAACAGGATTAATAAAAAGCCACTCAAAATCGTTTTTATATCAATGATTTATCGTTACTTAATTCGCATAAATTAAATTACCATGTATTCTATAGTTCTATCGATAAATCATTGCAAATGAAACCTACAATTTTCTTGAAATGTTTTGGAATACCATGTACGTTTTATATTAAAATTTAAACTTACAAAAAACTACTAATGTACACTCGACATTTTTTTTTATCATAAAGTAAAAATGTTAAGAAGCATCTTGTAAAATTTCTCAGCCAAAATCATTTTATTCACTTAAAACACAATTAAAACTAATAAAAAAAAAGAAAAAACATACAAATGGAAAATGCCTATAAATGGCTCATAAATCGGTAGAATATTCTAGATTCTAGAAAAGACCAATATAAGCGGTCTTTGAAAGTTTGAACACTGGAGGACTATACGATTATTATTAAACTATTTACAACAAAGAAGAAAAAAACTGTAAATAATAAAAATTTTATTTCCGTGAACTTATTAATTTTTTTAACGTTTTTCTCGGGTCTTCGCGATTGTTAATACAACTGTGTAGAGAATCAAAAGAACCTCTTCATGACTAGACAATATTTTATTTCAGAAAAGGTGCTACTCTTAAATATTTATTAATACAGTCGAAAAAAAAAATCATATAAACAAACAAACGCCATAGCAACGCCAAAGAATTTATATTCCTTGGTACGCTCAGGATCTAAAATTTTATAATATCACTTAAGACTTCACTCAGATTTTATAACATGACGTGTAATTGTAAATGTCCAGTCTCTTATGAAAAAAAAAAAATACTCGTTTATTTTGTACTTATATAGAATAAATAATTTCACTTTTAATTTCAGGGTAGATCGTATAATATTAAAGCCATTTCATATTATTAAAGCAAATAGTGGTAGGTAAGAAAAATAAAAACATTCGTTCTACTCGCATATATTACCATCCCATATTTCCTTTTAACACGCACGTTTGTTTTAATATATTTCGTTCAAAGTCTCGAAAAAAATTATCGGCACCGGGCACATAGTAATTGACTTTTGTTTTCTTTTTTTGTAAAACCATATTATAGTAATATTATAGTGTTATAGCCGATAATTCATGATATACTAAAACGAAAATCACAGCATAAAATACCATGCGGAATATAAGAAATTTAGTAGGAGTGTACAAAAATCGCGACTAATATTTAACATTATACTAATCCAATGAAACCACGGTCCAAGGGGACCTTCAGGGATTATTGGTTCTTGGTTGGTCTCCGTGGTTTCCTGTAGAGTCCGGGGAACTGATTTACCCCTAATCTTTTTGGACCGCACAGGTCTTTTCGAGGGGTCGGGTACCAGTAACGTCACGGATTTATCTCGGTGTGAAGCAAACATTGCAATTTCTGGTTGGGTGGGCCAGTGTCGGTACATTCCTACAGAGTTTGTATCCGGCGAGAGATCGAAACTACGGCAACGGAGATTGTGTTATCATACGTGTGTCGATAAACTCCTGACTGCCTCCGGTACGGACTATTTATCCACTTCATTGGTTGCTGGATATCGAGATATGTCCAACTTTTAACAATTTTGAAAAGCAGTCCGGGTGGTCTCCGGAGTTCCGGCGTCGATTTATTCTCGGCACCGATCGGAGGCTCAGGTGTCAACCGCGGTTTCGTGCTGTGGTCAGTGCCTTGTGGTTGGATTCGGACGGGCTTACGAGTTTCGTTGGATACCAGTTAAATAGCCAGAGGCTACCTACCTGACGGCTACTAAACCCGTAAGCATGCGGTAAGTGAATTGGGTAGCGGTTGCTGGGACCGCGCTCTGAGGCATTTTCATGCTTCCGGGGCTTGCCCTGAACCCTTCGGGTCTCTAGAATAACTACCCTTAGCTAATATAAGGTACCCGGTCGTAATGTGCTTTATGCACGGAGAAAAAATCGGTCTCACTGTACTAAACCAGGAGATTTTTCCCGTGATTTTACGATTCAGTAACCTTTTTAGAGGAAATAGGTAACCTCCTAGGTTGTGTTGAGTGTAATTAACATTTCCGACTGGAATGTGCCGCACCAAGGAGGCGACGCGTGTAATTAACAAATGTTATTATTTTGGAAGCTGGTAGTTTGATAATGTCACACTCGATAGTTTATTTCCAATACTAAATATTTAATACATTACATATTGCTTCTTCGGCACAAGGCCGTCCGAAATTCGAAGTTTAAACATTAAAACGTAGATTATGTTTAACTCGTAGAATATAACATGGTATCAGCAAATTGTGCTACGGAGAGTTCACAGAAGTCCGCTGAGTAATGGATTTATTCACTATACTCGGCGCGGATCGCGTTCATGTTATAGCGTCGACCATTGTTAGGTATCGTTCAATTGCAGTCACTACATTAAATACTTAGCCGGTGTTTTAATCAATATCGATTTGATAAAATGTAATTCGGTGACAGTAATCATCACAAATGTCGTCAAACATGGAGGAAAGAATGGGATACGTACCAATCACACATCATTTTTCTTGAATATTCAAATAATATAGGGTTTTTATTTTTATGTATGTTTAATTTTAATTCCTATTTTCGAATATACAAATGTAGTGAAAAAAAAAGATATTTTCATAAACTAAGATTTTTCACAACGATAAATTATCCTGTGATGATAACAATTTTGGTTTTTCAAATGAAAAAAAAATGTTTTTGAATTATTCTACTTTAAATACTTGAGGATAATAACTCCAAGATTCAAAACAAAAAAATTGTCTATACATGGTTTTTAAGAAACAGTCGGTATACAAACCCCATACAAATCTATTATCCGTTTAAAGTATTTAAAGCAAATTAACTCAAAAAATTTTCGTTCAAATTTCGATTACATATACGTCAACATTTTCAGAAAAATAATATGATTCACAATTTGCTTCAAAACATGTAGACTTTTGTTTGAAAAACTAAAGTTAAATGTATGGTATTTAAACGTTGTGAAAAATCCATGTATGCAAAAATATTCTCGCCGTTCATTGATTATAAATATTTCAATTATCATAATTTTTATAATATCGATATTATAAAAATTTACTAAGCTGATCAGCTTAGCATAATCATAAAATGGGGCGAATAAGCTTGAAAATCATACTGTATCATATGTTATAGCTATATAAAGCTATAGCTCTAAAAAAAAAAAAAAACAAATTATGTAGATAATAGTAGTTCTTAAAAATTATCAATATCAACCCCACGACAAAATCATTTTGCCACCACTTATTCACAATAATAATACCGTGCATTGTTGTCGCTCATATATTTAGTGTAAATTCGAAGCGTTTGGTCCGCACATAGGTCGATAATTTCCCTAATAACTATACTATTATAATAGCAGCTAGTCCCGTCGTTTATCTTTTTATCTTATAGTTTACGGTTATTTGCGTATTATTTCGACTGTTTATGACTTTATATCGTCCTGATATATTTCAACGGTCGTGTTATTATCATTATTATATCATTATCATTATTTACAACCGTAATATCTGCGTTTGTATTATTATCATTGCTAATAAATGTCACGTTCTGCATAAATAAATAAATATTATTGTTTATTATATACTTCGATCGGGGGCTGGGAAACACTTTGACGGATCAGACGATAATGGCGGTGGCGAGGTACAGAGGACAAGCTTCCGCATTGGTCGGGCGCGTTCAATATACAGAATGATAGTAAACCTTTGGATCGGCGTTACGTTTAACTCGACGAATTAACATTCAAACTTTTCCTGGTAATTTTAAACAAAGTGTTATATTATATTTTATGCGGAAAGTTTGTGGTTATATCTATTTATTCACTTACGGAATTGCGTGGAGTTAGCAACCGCTTTTGTATCGAGGTTGCAAATTAAAAGCAACGCTACCCATAGGTAGCCTATGGGTAATTTGTAAAAAAAAAAATAAAAAAACTTACGATTTTTAAAATGCTTTTAATAATATTACACTAACTGCTATAATATCGAATTTGAACGTATAAAAAGATCACTCAACTGATGAATTTTTTTTTTTTTTTTTTACAATTCTATTCATTAGTAAACGACACTTATAGAACTAAAATTCAGAAAACGAGTAACAAGATTCCAAAAAATTGATTCATACAACATGCGTGTATGTTTTTAAAAAAGTTTTTGACGAGCCAATTTTATAATTTGTGTAGGCAGTATCATAAAAGATACGTAATTTTCACCGGGTAGTACTTAACTTAAATATAAATCAGTTTTCAACAAAACAGTTATTAATAACGATCTATTGGGTTTTATTTATTTTTGTTATTTTGGCTTCTGAATTAACCTGGCTCCAAGGGAAGAAAATCTACAACCTAATCACTTTATAGAGCTATCTACGTTCAGAATTTTTTTATAACTTAATAAATTTCGTATGTAAAAAAAAAAACATGTATGTCAGATTGAATTTCGATCACAGAAAAACTAGAAAAATCATTAGCAGTATTGAATGTAATTTAAGTTCAGGCCACCGAATAGGTTTGTAGACAAATGACACATTTCATTCAAACGGCGACTTTAAAACTTTGAAATTTACGCATTAAGATGCGCAATGACTCAGGAGGTTCAGTGTAATTTTTTTGTTATTCCTTAAAATTAAATCGCCCACTTTGAAATTCGAATGGATTATAATATTATAGGTGCGGCAAATATGTATTATTGTCCTTGTCCGCGTGTAAAAAAACCACTAGCGGACCTGTCAATAGCGATACAGTTTTTGATGAAAACGTGTATTTATTTTTTTTTTTTTTTTTTTTTTTGCCGAAACCCTGGAGGGTATTTTGCGCGCTTATATCCGCGGGGAAAAACCTATAAAGTCGACCCGGGAGAATATTACATCTGCAGTGGTACTGCACACCGCGCGTTTCGGTTCGTCGCGAGACGTCACGGTTGCCGACGGGGCCTCGCAATATTATTTAAAATATTACATTTTTTTTTTTTTTATTTTTTTATTATTATTTTTATTTTTTTCATTTCGTTTCTCCCGACCGCTCGGAACTAAAACACAATAATGACGATAACGATAACGATGTTTTTACGCGTACGTTTGCACACGTCGCTTTACGGCTTGTCCGACATTATGATATTTTATATTTTTTACACAATATTATGTTATTATAATATACGATAGCGGCCTGAAGACGCGAATTCGCTTCGCAAATATTAATCAACACTCACACGCGCACGTGCATGCCGCACACACGTGTGATGCGGATAGTTGTTTAGAGTAACACACACACACACACACACAAACGTACTTATAAACACACACGTACACAAATAGACTTATAAAACACGCACACGCGTACACAAGTGCGCGACGACCGAATAACGATGTAGTCGTATTTCTGTGTACATATATATATATATATATATTATTATATATACGTATATATGGATGATGATACCCACATGCGCGAGACAGATAAACGTGACGCTGACAAATGAAGGAAAACCCCGAGGCAATGCTAAAACCGCGAGGGTGAATTGAAATGTCGTCATCAATTTTATTTATGTTTACATATATGCGTCGCGTCGCGTGGTAGGTATACCGCCGCCGTTCGAAGAAAGCGCCGCGGAAAACGGATAATATTATGGCGAAACCCGAGAGTATAATAATATTTTTGTACACTCGAATATATAGGTGTACTCGTCTCCGAAAAACATAACGTACCGAGTAACGACGACAATAATAACAGCAATTATGTGCTGCACTGGTACAACAGTGCAGCCATACGCGGCCTGCTGTATTTCACTTGCGCGGGTCCGGAAGAAACGTCGGGGTTACCTAAAACAGGAGGGTATACTAGCAACGTAAACGACGTGTGTCCTGTAGTCGCTCGGGATTCAAACCGGACCGATCCCCGTGGTCTGTATTCAACGCCCGGGGGTAGTGTAGAATACGATTTCAGTCAACGATTAATACTTTAACGAAGCTACTCTTTGTCCCTGGATGACGCTGCGGGGCGGGCATCACTCCGAACATCAGCAATGGCTTTAGTTTACGGTGTAGCCGGGTATTTATCGTGAATCCGTTTATTCCGAAAGTCTACACTTCGCGCGCAAGTCGGTACCCAACTGAATAATACGACGCGGATCGCGAAAGAGACGGTGGTACCTACCCAAAAGGAACGGTTACCAATCCTGGCCGATGTGACACCCTCGGACCTTCGAAAGCGGGAGTCCGTCAAACGGATAATGGACAAAATCAAACACGATCCAAGTCCAGGTATGTTTCGAATTTAGTACATCCGCCTACTGAAATACATGGACACCGTGTTATGTACGTATTGATCGAGCGTCGTTTTATAGCCGTTTTAATTTTCGTTCAGAATCTTGGATCCCATAAGTTCAACAAATTCTAAAAGAAAAAAAATCTTACAAACGTGTATAGTGTTTTAAAATCGGTTTTGAGTTTTCATGCGGTATCACAGGGAAATTAGCATTACGGCGTATATATCGCGGTATTTACCGAATACGATTGTTAGAAATATTTAGGTCGCGTATATTTTACAGATTTAATGCAAATTGTACGTGTATTATTACGTTAATTACATTTGTAAAATACACTTGTATATTATAGAATATATTATACGCATTTTTTTTTTTAATTATATGAAAATTTGGAAACTATTGAAAAACTAATGAAACATACAAACTGTTGGTTTTAATCGTACGTTTTGAATTAAATACGTCTATGGTTGGTATATAGTGAATTGAGAATATTATTATTATCGTATCCTAAACCTCTTTAACGTTGTGTGCTTTTAGATTTAAGAAAAAAATGTTCGTGCAAACATCGTCTACGTCATTGACGTAAAGTTACATCCAACCCCTACACCTACAGACACACTAAAGCTGCAGTGTTAACTGTCAGAGCTCATTCCGTATAGTCAATGCAAATTCGATGTCTCCAGTGTTCCACATAACAAAAAAATAAATCGTTTTCACGCTGTTATAGGGAACGTTTATAATATTCGTTCAAACACAATATTAATATGATGCCGTAAAACACATGACACTCGCATCGTAATATATACATTACACAAATAAATCAACCCTTGGAAATACTTACCTTATATACAATATATATTATACATCAATGAATTATTTAAAAGGGCAACGGTTAAAGTGACCATTTTAAAGGTAACAAACTATCAAATGGTTATAACTGTGCACGGTTTACCCAAACTGATCATTGAAAACTGAAAGGGGACATGTTATCGTACTTTAAAATATACGGCTTTACAGGGATCGAGAACAAATCTCATTTCACTAAAAAAAATCGAGATTTTTATATTAGACAGGATGTTGGTTTGCCCGATTTTCATATTAAAATTCCATAAAAAAAATCCAATCTAGTTCGTCAAGGCGTAAAAAAATCTTCCCCTTAACTCGAGCCAATAAAGCAAACTTTCATGTTTGACGCTGTGGCGTTTCCGATTGGGGATGCAGAGAGGATTAAATGAAATTTATTTATTTGCCCGGATAACGGTTCCAAAAATAACTCTCGACTTCGGATTATAATATTAATTTGAATTTACTGCAGCGTGTGCCGTCAAAGACGCTGCGGGGGCTATAAAATCCTTCGATGCGATTTTTACGATAAACACATTCCGAACGACTATAATTATATCACACAACAGATATTAAACTGCGCGTTTTATTAATATTTCCATTAATTTCTTTAAATATCTGTACACCGTATACATGCACTATTTAGGTTTCTCCGTGAACATATCATATACCCGCTGCGATGACCCGAAAAACATTAGCTTTTTTTTTGACATTTAAAAAAAAAAAATCAGTTTTAAAATGCTACTTCATCATTATTTTTTTAACCCTGATTTTTAAAGTTACAATAACTACTACTCTCGACTTATAAACGACAACTTAAATTCAAAATTCCATAAATAAGTGGAATATTTCTAGTACGAATACATTCCAGTATTGAAATGTTTGATTTTCGTGAACCTATTGACGATAAATTTCATTTTTAAATTTAGGTGGGAGAAGAGTGGTAGAGCAATATTCAAATGTCACGCGCTGTACCACTACACAAATAATTATGTATAACTACTCAACTCCCTACCCAAACTAAAAAGTGAAATATCTCGTCGGTGGGTTGACAAAAATCAAAAAAGTCAGTACCGAAATTTGTTTCAACTAATATTCCATAAATTTATAGAAGTTTTAATATCATAATATAAAATTGAGTAGGTATGTAATTCGTATTGTAATATACCATACATTCGTATCCAATCAATAGTTTCTGAGTAATATCCGTTTTAATTTCTGGAAAATCGGCGTAAAAACAATTAATTTTCAATAAAAGATAAAGAATTACCGTGCTTATAGTGATTCTTTGTCGCGTAACGTTTTATTCTATTAAAAATTAATTGTTTTTCTATACATTTTCTATAAACTAAAATGGCTATTACTCAGAAATATACAATCGGATATGAGCGTATGGTACATTAACATTTTTAGAATAATATTTTAATTTTTTTTTTACAAATAAGTGATTAAGGGATTAAAAAAATTGAATGTTTTTTTTCTTCTTATTTGTCCTATTGATCAACCCGATTGAAACAAAATAATAAAGAAAAATAAACAATGACATATGAATCATATAACGTTCATATAGCACTGTAAGGATACCTTGTATATTCATTATAAATTTCAAACATTACCAAATGACCAATACTTTTTATCGATATCTCTCGATTAAACTTAACTACTAAACCATTAATCAATGTATCCATTATCGATGTTCGATAATAAACTCGTTTACGAAATGACCATAGATCCTAATCTAATAATCTAAGATAATTTTTGGGATTCAGTCCATGAGAGTGAATAAAATAAAATATTTAATGTAAAAGTCACAGATTTTACTGGAAAGGCAATGTCCCACCATGCCTCCTTCATAAACACGTCTACGATTTTATAATGCTAAAACCTACCCATGGTGAAAAGTACGGCTGCCGAAGCCAGTTTTTAAATTTAATTTCATTATGAAATACAACAGAAGTCCTATCAATAAAAAAATTTCCAAAATAAAAAAATAAAATATTTATAATACCTAAACCTGCAAATATATAGTAATTTAATACATTGATATTGTTGTATCGAAATATTTAAATGAAAAAAAGAAAATATTTTAATAGAATTTCTTTCTACACATCGATTTTTCTCTTTCTGTGGCAATTTTTTTAATAATATAATTTTCTTTCTATCATTATTTTATCTTTCATGCATTTTTCTATCTGATGGGTACTAAGAATTTCGCATTGGAAAACCGTAAAATTATATTCAATATCTATTAAGTTATAAAATATTCCCCATGTTTTCAGCTACACTCGTATAATTTGCGTAGGTATTGAATTAAAATATAAAACATAAAAACCGAAATATCACTTATATTTTTTAACTTAAAAAATAAAAAAATAATTTTATAATTTTTTCTCTTTATAATATAAAATTTGAAGTACGTATACAATTGTATTTTTAAATAAAAAAAAAATATACTCTTTACCAGAACGAGCGTTAAACAAAAATAATAATAATAAAACCTACCTACAATGAATAAGAATTGAGAATGTATAATGCTATTTTATTTTTTTTTAAATCACTAAATCAAAATACCAATAATAGTAATATTATAAATTTTAAAAAAAAAGAGAAAAGAGCTGAGAACGGGCGTGCAAATATTGTAGGTGGGAAAATGGAAAGAAAAGGCACATAAAGCATTTATATATATATATATATATATATATACACAACGATAAACCATTGCTAATAAGAAACGATTTGGATCGAAGTTCGGTTCCACAAGTTTTGAAAGGCCATAATATTTAAAAATAACAAACGTATTATTTTGGTAAATTTCCCCGTTCTCTTTACGTTATATTGCAATTTTTCTTAATTATTGAGATAACTACAGGGAAAATAAATCAAAATTCACCACCTAAATAAAAAATTAAACAAAAATAGTCTATTTTCATTTTTCTACTTGAGCAATATTTCTGGTAGGAAACATAGTTTGCAAAAATTAAAAACAATGAAATCGGTTAGGTGCGTTGAGCCGTAAATATTTGCCGTTTTACCTATTATTTTGTAACCGATTTTTCCCAATTATTTCGGAATCCCTTTGGAAAGTCATAAAATGACCTCTTTAATGTACCAACCGTTCCGAAAAGGTGCTACACCTGATACATCGGAGGATGTTTTTTTTTTTTGGAATTGCTACGCTCCGAATCTAAAATTTAAACTTCGTTCGGATAATTATGTTTTCCGATTTAATGTCTCGTAAGTATACGTGAATTTGGTAATAGAAAAAAAAAATTCAATAAAATATTATAAACACCATACGGTATTTAAATGTTTTGTATGAAAATGAAATAATATGATATTATTTATAATTTCAAGAATAAATTGCAATACACTCATGTTTATACTGACGTTATAGGCAATTATGTCTATATTTTTGAAAAAATGGAATCGTTCATATTCAAATTTACTTTCGTATGCATATAAAAAAGGGTCCCGAGTTTTCGTCACAAGTATTTATTGTGTTATCGTGATATTTGATCAAAAACACTTTCAACGTAAAGTAAAAAAAATTACCCTTCAAAGAGATTTTAGAATTTTTACTCTATATAGATAATGTACATTATTTTTAGTTTATGGAATATTATTGATTTTCAATTTACTTGAATGTAACTCAATGAAATCAAAAATGAACTTTGTGATGATCAACGCATATCGGATGGAAAATATTTTCAATGTTTTGAAACGCAATTTTTATGCAGATGTCTTGACACTATTTTAACACGATAACAATATAATATTCATGGTCCTTAAAGATAATAAAAGTGATTTATTTAGCTATATTTTAAGGCTTGGAGTGATTTTTGAAATAAATATATGTAGGTGTTGAAAATTAGGCTACTGAATTGTATGATTTTATTTCAGCGAAACCTATCAATCAGTTAGAATCGTTCGAAAGTGTTAAAAAAATGTTTGCATCTGAGTTCAACTTCAAAACATGTTCCAGTATTCATATATTTGATCAAGGTACTAGTTGTTGATTAATCTAATAACAGTTATATAGTAGCTAATGCCAATAAGGTATATTTTCAAAACTCAAATTAATAAAAACATATCGTAGAGAAGAACAATTTCTCTTTCATGCGTCTAAGTAGACTTTGATTTCCTTTGATTTCAATTGCAAATGAACGTGTAAGAAAAAAAAAAAATTATTTTAACAGTGCAGACGAAAACAGCACAGTCAAATTGTTTTCGACATGATTATTATCTAATTTTATTATGCACAAAAAATATGAATTTTTCTTGTCTCTTTTATTTTTTTAATTTAATTAATAAATGCACATTATCGGATAACTTGGTATATTGATTATGATAAGAAATTTGCACACAACAAAGCGGGCCTCTATGTTTTTTCTATGTCTCTATGTCTAATGTTTTCCATCGACTTTAAAGTGTCTGGATCAGTCAATATTGACGCATGTATAATGAAAATAAATCACGACTTTAGATAAGTTTAAAATGTTTAGTTTTATTTACGCGTGCAAATCGCACACTTCATTTTATAATACCAGCGGGATTTAAGCAATGATCACGAGATATTTGTTGCATTTTTTCGAAAACGTTTAACTATACCACATATTATTAATAATCTAACCTGACGAAAGGAAACACCTAATTGATGCGATTATGTCTGTTTTATTAAATAAATAAATAACTCATAAAAATGTATTGAATATTTTTATTAAATAAAATGATAACAGTTTATATTATGATAATTGCAACAGTTATATAGGAAAGATTCATCGGAACTTTGATTGTTTTAATTCGTTCAGCGTGCAAATACACAATATTTTGATTAAAGGAATATTTTTTTTTTTTTTTTTATTTAAACTTAAATATTTGAATACGCTTTAAACAACATTATTCAGACATTTCTATATAATACAGATAACTCGGTTATAAAAAGTTTATTTTATATCCATTAACGAGAAAGTTGAACCGGAAATTGTTGTTTTTAAACGACTTACCAGATAAATTACTCTCTCCGACTAGTGCCAATACGCGAAATTATAATATGCGAATGCGCTTGCATTTCTAATTGGTTTCTCTCTCTTTTGCACAGACCGATAATACGATACAGAGAATTCGTTTAAAACTTTTTATATACATTTAGCGTCCTTCGTTTTTTTAACGCCCTTATGTGTGCGATTTCAAATTTATACTTTCTCCCATTTGGTTTTTATTTCTCACCCTTCACTCACCAGTTTCCCTCGTTGGCACTCATAAATGCTTAAACATTACCGTTACGTTTCAAAGAACGTCGCTTACATAATATTATAGTATATTAACCGACTATTTTATTTTGTAAGGAAAACAAATTAAATTCCAAGTAGAAGAGCAAAGGGTAATATTGTATAGACATAATGAAAAATAAAAAAAAAATAAAATAGTAAAAAGTACACCACTACATATTATGCCGTTATTTTACTCCGGAATAATGCAAAACAAAGAATATATTTAATTCACTATTTTGTGGTTTGCATTTAACTTCTTAATAATAATACTAATTATTGGTACCACTAATGTTAATAATTACTAGTCTCTTTTGTTATTATACAATTTTTCGACATTTTAAATTCTTTGTTCTCTAGGATATCAGATAAATTTATACGAATCTAAATGATGACAACACGATTATCGTATATTAAAAAAAAATACAGTAAGAATTAACAAATTACAAACGATAATTTGTTAAATAGGAGTAGGCATTGCAGTGTTCCGTCACTCAATTGGACGCAAACGGAATGAATATTAACCACTTCTGAACTCATATCCAAATTGAAATTTAGAAATTCTTGGTGATATTTTATTATTTTTGATTTCAACTAGCTCCCTGTGAATAGAATGGTTTCTGAATAAAACACTTTGGGCGTATAAAGATATTTACTGTCTCACGAAGTTTAAATCGAAAATTATCCTATATTGTAATATTAATATCTATGTATAATTACAAAGTGGGTACCCAAATTGCATTTTACAGTTTACGAATAATCATTCACGTTGAGTTTTAAATATTCAAAAATCAATGGTTAACACATTCCGTATAAGTATTTATAACTTATAAGTGGTAAATTGTATGTCACAACATTTAAAACAGACCTAGTTTATTAATCTAGAACCTAATTCAATGAGGGGAAGATGCTTCCCACGTCTTTCTTAAATGTACCACTGAGACTTAAGCATTAATACTCTCTGTCGAGTGCGCCACTGATTGAAATATGACCTAGTCTACTGAATAGTAGAAGTAAGTGCGAATAATCATCGTATTAACGTTAAATTTAAATGCCTTGTTTAATTCCATAATGTTTATTGTTGTAATTAGTAACTAGATAGGAGTATAGGATAGGGTTTAAACGTTAGGATATTATATTTCGTAAACAGACTAATCAAATCCCGTTGGATATATACCGAGTCTTCGTATCGTGTCCGGTGTTCTATGTGATAGATTCTATAAATTAAAAATAAAATGTTTTAAATATTTTGTTTGAGCCAACAAGTTACTACTGATATGGCTTTTTACACGAGTGTACTTAGTACTTATTGGTTTTGTGAATTTTCTTTTAAACTAAAATTTGAATTATATTTGTTGATGAGTAAATAAATTTTATGCAATGGTCAATATAAAAATTGATTTAAATTTATAGAACTAAAATGATCAGTTTGACTAAAAATAAATATTCATTAAACCATGCACATTGTACAACGAAAGTACACTATTCATATAATGTTTAATAAAAGTTCATTTGCTATGTGAGTATGGGCACTAATATTTTTCGGTTTGTGTTGTTCCAATGTTAAAATATGAAAATTATAAAAAGTTAAATAAATACAAAATTAAAAGTTCATCTGCGTTATTTACCTTACACATTATAATATTATTTGTGATTTTTCAACAGTTTTTTTTTTTTTTACGAATTAAAATTAATTAAATCCCAAATCAAACATCGAAGTGTGCTGTTATTGCACGTAGGTACAGTGTTCAAATATATAAATTGAATACGTTATTATTTTGGGACATTTTATTATTGGCATAATCTAAATTATTAAATTAAATATATTATAACGGGAGTATTGAAACTGAAAACAATAAATACCATGAGTACATAATTCGCCAGGCGAAACGAAAATGTTTCTCGGTTCAGGCCGTAACTTAAGATCGTATCTATATTCGGCATCATCCATAAAAAAAAAACCTCGTATCTCTACTCGTCCAAAGAAATTTAGATAAAAAATCAATAACAGTGGATAAGACATTTTTAATTTCGGTAGGTGATTTGATAAAGAGTTGATAATGACGAGAAAGGAAGAGGACGAGTGTGTAAAGCAAACCGCAGAGGAAATGGCTGGGAATCGGCGACGGCGCCGCGTTCTTGCCTGATAGGTTTGTTTCGGCATTCTGAATGGCGGCTCCGTTCGGAACAGGAAAAACAGATCACACATAATACTAAAAATATTAAATTATCCTATCTATCAATCTATAATATATTCATATATATCTGAACTATATATTTAGGAAAACTCGTTTTATTCATTTAATTACACTCTGAATTTCAGTTGCTGACCGTGGCTATCAAACTAAATAACTACTGGTTCCAAAAATGAATATTACCCACTTCCAGACTCGAAGAGACTCCCAAGTTTATATTTCTAGTATAATTTTACACATTTTTTTATATTTTCTTCTTATTTCGGGTTATCGACCGCCATTGGGCCTATCCTGTAATTCAATCGATCATCTAATTCTCCCTATCAGCGGTTCTTGTATTCCCGTCTGAACCTCCATTCAAGGATTCCACATCTCTTTTTACCACATTTACTCAGCCTAAACGGGTGTATATGTATATTGAATATTATGTATAGTTATATATATATTTATGTATACGTATATTTTTATTTTTTAATAATTTGTTATTATATATAAAAAATTTTATTTATCTTCGATTTACATGGTAAACAGTCGAAGAACATTCACATTTTGGTTTTTATATATTCTTACAAAACATCAGCACCGATATTTTCGTATACTCGTAAAATATTGTGAACGCGTATTATCCATCCATCTCCATTCCACGCAACAACTGCAAAACTTAGTCTAATATTTTTCTTTCGAAAATTTTCAAATTAAATTATATAAACTATGTTTGTAGAGGTAGTCAATAGATGATATAATATGAGCTGACAAACAATGGGTTTCGATAAACAAAAATTACAGATTTTAACTGCAGGTCACAATTAAATGTGTTCGAGTAGATATATCGTATTACTTTAAGTGCAACATTAATTACGCGTGTTTAAGTATATCCTCAACAAACAATCCAACTGATTCTTTTTTATTTTTATTATTGTTACGGTTAGGGTTTAATCATAGTAATATACAAATAGTATACCGTATCCATTAGCTACAGAATTTTTCGGTCCAATTAAATGCAGATATTGTGACATTTACAAAAAAAAAAATAATAATAATAATTTACAAATATTGTTGTTAGGCATTGTGTATTTCTTTTTTTCAATTCTCTTACTTTATTATTGCTTTGTAGTTATTTCAAGGGAAGAAATATAATTATTTGTTAAAAAAAAAAAAAGTAATAATTTTGCAACGCATTCTTGAATATTTCGTTTGACAGAAGACGGTTTTGAAACATGTTTTAAATACATTATAACAGAAATAATAAGTTATTCAAATAATACTGTGTTGTCAAGAATCTATGGGTAACACAATGAACTCTTTTAGAGTAGTATACTATTAGCGTTGACGTATTACAGTGTTTAATCTAGATAATTGTATCTTTGATCTTAGCTAGATAATTCGGAAATAAGTTTTATCTGAGATGAATAGTTGAATCGCCCAGATAAATCTCTTTTTTAAATTGTAGTTAACATTATATTTAATAGAAATCACAAGTTAAAATGCCGATTGAAATTAACAATATGCGCTTGGACAAATTAATATTAATATTAAATTGCATCAATCGCACGTAATTTTTGGAATCTATAATAATCACGTGTACCAGATCCGGCACACTTATATTACATTTGACACTTAGTTTTATCGATAGACATAATGATAAAATATATCGGATATATTTTTTTTAATACTAGTTAAATTAATGTTGCTATTATCGTTGTCTAAATAATAATACAGTTATGTATCCCGCATCTAGGTAATTATCGTGCTAGCGATTATCTCGTGTTGTTTTGAAGATAATTTAAAATGTACATCGTTCTAAAACACTGCGTATATAATAAAATATATTATTTATCTGAAAAATACATTAAGGTTTCTTTCGGAGTCCACGTTGAAAGCACGCGTTAATATTTAAAGAGACTTGGTAGTTTCCGCAAACGTCATTGTTATTATCATGCGTATAATAATGCAATATTATGTCCGAAGACAATCGGAAATCGATGAATTCGTAAATTCAAACGAATATTTTTGTAACGGTCGACAACAATTCTGACCTGTTGTTTCGTCTTATTTTGGATGACGGGAGGAGGTGGTTGCAGTGCGAAATTTATTATGACGTATGGGCATGCCAGAAGTATTGGTTTTGACCCGGAAATATGTTGGGCGAGTTTTGAAAACGGACTAACGAAAAAACAAAATACGAAAATGATCAATACACGAACAAGCGGTCCCAGATTAAAATATCCAGTACTGAGTTTAAATGTCACGAACGTCAGTGTTTGAAAAAAAAATTCCAATATCTCGACAATTTGGTCATTGGATGCATGGAAATTGTTTAGTTATCTATAGTTGTACATGATTATTTTAACGCATAGGAACAAATTGTATTGCGAGATTAAACGTTTATTTTTTTTTAAATTAATGTAGCGATCGACGATAACAATAATTTGTTTCTCTTCATTGTCTTTGGACGTTCGTATTGATTATAAACGTCCAAATTGTTTCAGTTTCGGACCCCGTTTTTCGAATATTTGAAAATACCCAAAGGCGTTTTGTAAGTCGAACATTAAACGACGGGCATACGTGTTGCACAACCAGTGGCGTTTGTTCCACAGTGTATACCCGTATTCTCAAATTTTTGTTGAAAAATCGCGTGTATTCTCGAACAGTTCAGAAACGACAATGAATTCGTCACGATATCGACGTTTTCTTACGGTACGGAGAACCGTTTTTCTTTATTTCTTAAATGTCGATTGTTTCGTTTCGGTAATTTCTATTTAATTTTCGTGAAAAATTCTACGTGATTATTCCCCGCGTGAGAAACGCTATGGTTATCACTGATTGTCGACAAAAAAAAAAAAAAAAAAAAAAAAAAAATGTACGCCGCCGATTATAACCGCGGCGCGTCATTCGCGGGACGTTACCGGACCGGACATTGACTGTGAGAGCGCGCCCGAACATTAGCCGTGCCGGGCGCACAACGGAAAATTTCAATCGAAATCCCACGGCGTCGGGCCGTGCGGTACGCGATTTCGGTGCCGGACCGTATCGATAAACAAACGCTCACCTTGCGATCAAAACCGCTGCGGGATGTCAGTGGGCGCCGGTGAGTGTTGTCATATCCCGTCGTCGGCGACAAAACGGTACGGGCCGGCAGTCGGTCCTCCGCGGGCAGGTTATCGCCGAAAACCGCTGCGACAACCGCGCGCAAATATACACACTGGCGCACGCACGCGACCGCCCGCGATGATAATATAATTATTGCGACGGGTCGGACGGACGGGGAAAAAAAAATAATAACAATAATAATAATAATAGTAACGGCAAAATAACGAGAAAAATATTAAAAAAATAATAATAATAATAAAAACCCCGACGGTGACCGACCGAACGTTTTTAATTATTTATTTCGGCGCGAACCCTCCGCGGTGGCCGTGCGAAACGCGAGTACGCGTGCGAAAAAAAAATTACGTGTATACGGAAAACGCGAGAAACGTTCGAATTGCCCCGGGTAAAGACCGAAATAATATGATCGTTACTGTCGTTGTCCGCGGACGAGAGGAGAGAATCCCGGCGAAACGGAAACGGGCGCACGGTCGCGGACGGTATAATTTCGTTGACGCGGTTACCACACGGCTCGCGATCGAGAAACGGCGAGAAACGAAGACGCGCGCGCGACACCCGACCGGACCGACGACACACGGGAAACACAGTATTGCGCCGGTAAACGCCGCCGCCGCCGCCGCCGCCGCCGCCGTCGCGCTCGCGGCCCGTCCAGACAGCGCCACCATACGCGCCCGACGTCAATTTCGGTTGTTATTTATTTTGCCTTCCGCCGCCCACCACCGCGGCGGGCCCCCGTGCGGCTTGTTGTCGTAGCGCCCGGCCGCCGGCCCGCGGCCCGTCGCGCGAACACCGGCCAGCGGGCCCGCGGGCCGGCGATCGCGTCGGCCGACCCCCGCGATTTCCGCCGTTTCGGCGGGGGGGAGGGGTGGTGTTGGGTGTCGATATACCAAGGAAGTCGCGATAATCGCTAGTCGAACTCGTCGGTAAACGGGCGAAATCCCGTTACATTTACTGCCGGCTCGGTGCCGCGTTTACGGTTTTACCGAGTAGTGGGATGCTGATAGTTCGGGAATCGCGATGACGTTATTGCGTACCAAGGATAAATAAAAAAAAAAACCACAGACGGACGAACTTCGCTCGACGGGTGGATCACTGTTCGCAGGTGAAAAGTTGGAAAGGGAGGGTAGGGTAAATGTACGGTCTGCCGTGACAAACGAAAAACGATTCGGAGCGGAGTTCGGTTACGTATGTTTCGAAAGGCCTTAATTATTTACGACATAAAAACAATATGTTTCGTACGTTTTCCCGGTTTTCCTGTTTGTTATGAAAAATCCTGGGATAATCAAAAAAACCACCTCTTTTTAGTACCGCCCCAGACAGATTTCCTCTCAGAAAAAGTACGACACTTGGGAAAATATCAGAAAAAATACAAAAATAAACATCAATATATTCCTCACTTCGCTCGAAATCTAAAGGAGGTCAACAATGAATTTTTTATAGTTTTGTGAGTAGTTTACAATCCAATCTTCCACAAAATTATTATTGTATTCAAATACCTGTAATAGGCATACTATACGTATTAGTAATTATTTAAACTGTTATTAGTTTATTTACTATATTTCCTTTTTGTATAGCACGTACGTATAATCTAATTTTCTTCATAGTATTTCGGATAGGGTATTTTGTTTTAAAACAAAAAAATAAATACGTTAAAGTTTTTTGTTACACCGACTATAGGTACACACACACAAAAAAAAAAAAAGCAATTTTGAATTCAACAAATAGATTTAGAAACTATTCTCCTAAACTCCCTCTTTATCGTTCGGCTTCGGAGCTTCAAAAATAAAATACCCGGAGAACGATCTCGGCGTTACCTGACGTATACACCGTAGTATTTTCCGGATGATTAACACCTATATACACACTTACACTGTTGATTGATTCTGTGCACGGGAACCCTGTGATCTTTTGATATCAGCACTTTGTGAATTATAGAACTGATTTCGTCATTCAGCTTTGTGTGATCATCACCCAACCAAATCTGTTTGGTTAGTAAAGCTGCTTATCGAAAGATTCGAAAGTTTATGGTCCGTATACGACACATTATGGAGCCAACACAATGGCTTGTATTTCAAAAATCGTAAAAAATTTTATAGGAATAACTTCCTGCCAATTTAATGATTGTGCACCATTCCTAATAAACATGACCGGTTATTCCATAATCATCAAAACTCTACAGCAAAGATTGGCCATAAACACAAAACACATATTTTTTAAAAAAAATGTTTGATAAATACAGGTTTAAGCAGCACTATCAACCGAATTCTGCTCAAAATCGTTTTATCGTTAGCAATGGTTAATCGCCGGGTACGGATAAACATATAAATTGCCCTCTACTACCTTCCCGACATCTCACCTACAACAGTAGCCCACGTGCAAAGTATGTCCGTTTTTTTTTTAAAGGCATATAATAAATGTTAAGTTTAAAATACTGAAAACGGTGTTGGGCGAATGCTACAAGAAGTCTTCCTGTTTCCACAAGAAAAAATAATCAGACCATTTTATGTGGCATAGAAGTTTTTCCTGTAAGTCGCATGTATTTTAGCCAAAAAAAAAAAAAACTCGCTGGCACTGTGCCAGTGTTCCCGTAAAGTATATGAAAAATTGTACGGCAGAACAAAATAATAATTTTTACCCCCACGTCTGTATAATTATTTTAAAATAATAGCATACACGTTACAGGATGTCAGGATCACACCTAGTGGCGACACCACCCAACAATAATTCTCGATATAAAATATTGATTTCGGGTATTTTTTTTTTTTATAAATTTTAATTTTTTCGAAAGCGAAAAATAAATGGTTCATTTTCCAAAAAAAAAAAAACAAAAAATTGTTTAATCGATCCGAAACATATTTAACTATCGATCGAGTTCATCGCATCACCCGCGAGCATAATTAGCAAAGCGCCGGAAGAAAAGAAATTAATTTTTTTCGTGAGCGTGTTTTGTAATCCGTCGATAAAGTTCGGCCCGACGGGCGGCTGCTCGAAAAACCACGGTCGGTGTGCGCTTCTTGAACCCGACCCGGTTGAACGACGGTGCACGGAGAAACGGTACGAATTCGAATAAATCTACCGACCGGAGTGGTGCGAGCTGTTTCGGGGCCGACAGCTGTTTACGGATCACAATCGGCGGCGCCGTTGACGGGGACGGGGACGTTTGAAAAATCCGAGTCGACAGCGCGCGGCGAACGAATTCGGACGCCGCGGACGAAACGTAAACGGAACCCGGCGGAGTATATGTGACGCGCCGCGATCGCCGCGGTCACTGTTGTGCACATAAATATCTATTGAAATGCGGTTACCGCCGTATGTATTTATTGAAAAGGAAAAAAAAAAAAAAACCCCCCGCGTATTATGTTCGCGTCGTCCGGACGGTCCCCGGACATCGGCGTACCTGATCCCGCGAGTTCTCTTCGATTACGCCGCGTCGCGGATATCGGCGCCCGTGAACACAGCGTGCGGTTTTCGACGTGCGTTCGCGTCCGCGGATTCGGTGACGCGTGCGCGAAGACCCGGACCGGACCGAAGCGTCGTTTCGCCGCGTACGGGACTGAACGCCTCGCGATTTATCGCGGGTCACGCCGATACACGAACCGCTGTTGGAGGGGGGGGCCCGTCGGGTGGATCGGATTGATTAGGTACCAAAAATCCGCGGTCCGTCGGGATAACGCCGCGATACGGGGCGGACAGAGCGCGGTAGACGCGACGGCGCTAAACGTCGCGGGACCTACGCGGCCCGTACGACGCGTGTACATTCTCAACAACCCTCTATCGTTTCCCGGCGAATCGGCAATCTCGTCGGGACGACCGCAGAGCGAAACGCCGCGGATTCGCGTAAATATCTGGCGGTCGTCGCTCTGATTACGAGTTACGTGCATTTTTTTACCCCGGCCGCGCATTCGCTCGGAACCTTTTGCGTTAATCCGATCGCTTAGTTTAATGATTTCGTTTACGACGAGCTAAAAATATTACCCTCCCTCACACGCAGGGGAGAGATAAAATCAGAGCCCCTCTAGAGCGCGAAAAAGGTCAGTGAATTCCATATCAATTCGTGTACTATGCGATATGATAACCCGCCGTCCCTTTACCGCCCGCCGAGACCGTTAAAACTCGTAAAACTTCGCATTAGCGTGGCGAAACGTTTAGGACGATGTTCTTATTTCGAACCGGCATTGAAAACGTCCGAACGCGAAGCCGGGGCGCGTTTACGGAAAGAGGGTGAAATCGACGAGGTCGCGAAACGGAAAAAAAAAAAAACAAAATCCCGAATTTGATTTCGTCTGGGACCGCCGTCGCGGTTACGGCCGTCGGACCGCGGTCACCGGGAGAAACCGCCCGGTACAATGCGGTTCGCGAATCCGCGGACGGGTTACGCTGCAGAAGTGCGCCAGGAACCGTACAACCGAACGTAGGACCCGCTCCCGCGCGTATCGATCGTTATGCCGCCCGAGAACGTGTTACGCCGAAAAAATCGCCTCGTATTATGGGCACTAAGTGTGTGTGTGTGTGTGTTTTTTTTTCCCGGAAAACGTCGTCCACCGGGCGAACAAGCAAACGGATTATCGATGTTACCGCCGTGTGACGGTCGCAAACGATTTCGACGTCGCGCGGCGTATAAGATATCGAATAACAGCGCGGCGCCCGTACCCCGTATATAATAATGTCGTGATAAAAATTATTGCGATTCGCGTGATATCTTTTCGCGCGTTCCGCCGCGGCCGCGTCGGATAACCCGCAAAAACGAATAACAGGCGTGCCAACTCTGCGTATCCCGCGGTGGCGACTGTGCCGATAAACCGAACAGTTATCGCCCGTGTCGCTCGTGTCGCTCGTGTCGCGCCGACAAGTCGGTCAACTCGTCGACGACGATGACGACGCGCGGTTGACCGACGGGGCTTTGGATTCCGAAGAAACTCCGCGGCGTTTGATTTTTTTTTACCGGCGAGGTTCGCTCCGGTTGTCAACGGTGGCGCCCTTGTCCGCAATGACGTCGGACCGACGCGGTACGTTTTCGGGACGACGGAAAACCGTGGTGCTGCGATGTTGGAGAACGCGTGCTAAACACGTCGATCGTTTTACCGTGACGTGACCCGTATATATGTATACGCACATATTGTCGACGAAGCAACACTGTCGACCGAACGCCGTTCGGAATCGTTTTTCGTCAGCGACGCGTTAATCGCCGCTCGCGGATATTCGTCGAATTTCCCCCGCTCCGCTTACCCGCCCGACGTTTAGCCTACGGCAGCGGCCGCGCACGTCCCCGCCCCGGCCCCAGCTTTTGTCGTTGTGCGTTCCGACACCGTCGCCGACGCGTCGCACGCTACCTGTACCGCATTCGTAGTCGTCGCCACGGCTTCCGGTCTCGCCCGCCGGCGACCGGCCACATTATTTCTAGGCGCACAACTAGGCCGCGTTGGTTCGTTATGCGCGTCCGGCGCGAGGTCCCGGGCGAAAGTTCGATTTTCCGAAACCACCGGCGGCGGCCCGTGCCGTCTTTTCCCGGCATATTGTCGCGCGCGAGATCGGAACACTTATCGAAACCC